ACCAATCAACATGCACTTCTGCTGGATGTAAACAGTAGCTCTTATAAGGCTTCAGTCACTCCCGCTAAATTGCTTCCACTGCAAGGACTATTTCCTATACGCCTCATCTTCCTGATTAACTGGAGCCAACAAAGCAGGAAATATTTTCAGCTCTCTTCAGAGCACTCCTTTCTTTTTGTTTTTTAAGTTTTTAACATTTTAATTCTAGTATAGTTAACATACAGTATTATATTAGTTTCGGGTGTACAATATAGTGATTCAACAATTCTGTACATCATTACTCAGGGCTCATCATAAGTGTACTCTTAATCCCCATCATCTATTTCACCCATCTGCCCACCCACCTTCCCCTCCGGTAACCATCAGTTTATTCTCAATAGTTAAGAGTCTGTTTCTTGGTTTGTGTCTCTCTCACTCTTTTTCGTTGTTGTTGCTGTTGTTTGTTTGTTTTGTTTCTTAAACTTCACATAAGAATCTGTTTCTTAAATTTCACATATGAGTGAAATCGTATGGTATTTGTCTTTCTGTGACTGACTTATTTTGCTTAGCGTTATACTAACTCCATTCGTGTTGTTGCAAATGACAAGATTTCATTCTTTTTTATGGCTGAATAATATTCCATTGTATATATGTACCACATCTTCTTTATCCATTCAGTTATCAATGGACACTTGGGCTATTTTATAATTTGGCTATTTTAAATGATGTTGCAATAAACATAAGGGTGCATATATCCTTTTGCACTAGTGTTTGTGTAGTCTTTGGGTAAATACCCAGTAGCATAGCAGTTATTTCTTGAGGGAGCCCAAAACTACCTAGCTGCCTGGTCAAAAGTGAAGAACAGAATAGAGAGTCTTGCCTACATATATTAGGATAGGACATCTCCTCCCTATGTCCCCACCCCAACCACTTCCCTATTTCCAATGCATTTCCTGGAACTCTCCCTTCTCTGCCCCATGTTTATATTGTTTACACCATTTACCAAGCCTGGGAGTAACAACAAATAACATCCCGCTTAATTCACATTATTGTGCCTTTTTGGCATGAGTCTAATTAATAAGGTCTCCAGGGCCTTCATCATCCCAGAGACAGGTGACCAGAATTGGGCAGTCAGCTCTTCTCTGGGGACTTTTGAATAATCTTTCAGCCTACACCATAATAACCCACCTGGCTATTGTGTGTGTGTGACCCCTGGAACTTAGGAGTCCTTATTCTAGGGACATTCCTGCTTTCTCTGGCACACTCCGGCTTATTTACTGGCTCCAAGTAGCCACTTTCCTACAGAGAAATATATATCTATAGGGTATACATATGGACATTAACTTAATAGAAGAGAATGTAAGCTTACTGCTACTTAGCTGAGTGCTTGGCACATGGTAGGCACCCAACAGATATTTGATTAGATGAATAGACAAATACATGAAAGCACCTTGAAGAACAAACAGCGTGCACCGAATACGTGTTAATGTCCTTCTTTCCAGCCCCTACCACACATTTGCTTGGAGTTTCTCCTTGTTTCAGAGTATAGTTCAATAACCAGAAAATTTAAACAAAAACTTAAATTTAGTAAGTCTAACCCAATAACTCAAAACGATATAGCTTATGTGAACAATTTACACAGCCTAGAGAGAACAAAATATGCTTCAGAAATTGCCCCTACTCAGGGATTTCTACGCTAGAAAAATCTTAGTTTTCTAGATAGACAAGTGAAGAGATTATTCTTTTCTGAAGATGCCCTGAAATCAGCCTATTGCCTTATGAGTGTTTATAGTTATTGACCATGTAAACCTTGTGTGAGTCCCTAAAAACCCAATGCCACTAGAGAAAGTCAGTCCAAAGACCACATGGAAATGATACCACTTTATAATTATTAAATAATCCATACGAACTGTCCTAGTTCATTTGAAGATTTTTATTTCTTTTTTAAAATATTTATTTATTTTTGAGAGAGAGATAGAGCATGAGCAGATGAGGGGCAGACAAAGAGGGAGACATGGAATCCGAAGCAGGCTCTAGGCTCTGAGCTGTCAGCACAGAGCCCGACACAGGGCTTGAACCCACGACCCATGAGATCATGACCTGAGCTGAAGTCGGACACTTGACTGACTTCAAGTGTCCTTGAAGACACTTGAGCCACCCAGCCGGCCCTGAGATTTTTATTTCTAAATCATTATCATCACATAATTTGTGAGTCACCAAATCTGTGCGACATAGTGGAAAAACTCTGGACTTGGAATCAGAAACCTGGGTCTAAATCTACTTCACAAGTTTATTGTCAAGATCAAATGAAGTGGGGCACCTGGGTGGCTCAGCCGGTTAAGCATCCGACTTCAGCTCCGGTCATGATTTCGTGGTTCGTGAGTTTGAGCCCCACGTGCTGACAGCTCAGAGCCTGGATCCTCCTTCAGATTCTGTCTCCCTCTCTCTGCCCCTCCCCTGCTTGTGCTCTCTCTCTCTCAAAAACAAATCAACATTAAAAAAAAAGATTACATGGAGTAATAATAAAAACATATCTGTCCAACACCTACTTCATATTGTATACAGAGCTAGAAGTGTTACATATATTAAGTAGATTCTCAAAAAAAAGCATTGTGAAATATGCATTATTATTCCCACTTTACCGATGAGGAAATTGAGGCTCTGGGAGTTTGAAAAAGTGACCCAGCCTTTCAAGCTGCAGGTCTAGGATGCATGTAGAAGGGCTCTAGCTAGGATGTATATAAGCTGGAAGTTGCCATAAAAATGTAAGGTATCCAAGGGGCGCCTGGGTGGCGCAGTCAGTTAAGCGTCCGACTTCAGCCAGGTCACGATCTCGCGGTCCGTGAGTTCGAGCCCCGCGTCGGACTCTGGGCCGATGGCTCGGAGCCTGGAGCCTGTTTCCGATTCTGTGTCTCCCTCTCTCTCTGCCCCTCCCCCGTTCATGCTCTGTCTCTCTCTGTCCCAAAAAAAATAAATAAAACGTTGAAAAAAAAAAAAAAGTAAGGTATCCAATGACAAAGTGTCTCGGAAATGATAATTTCTATTAATTTTGCTGCATATTCCCTCCCTGCTATGCACCTATGTAGTCCTTTCCTGTGGCATAATGGATCAAACTAACTTAGATCCAGGAGCCAGAAACTCATGTCATCTACAACACAGACCATCACGCGTGCAAGTTGCTCTCCTTTGCTTCCTCATTTATGTTTTCTCAGTTTCTATATTAGTAACTTGTATGTCAACTGCATTGGTCCACATCTCAGGATGTCATGAGGACTCACTGTTTAGAAAACTGGCAATGATCCACTTTTCGAATCACCCAAATATTCCAAAGAAACTGTTGTGACGTTTGCCCTTTGGGATGGCATGTAGGGTCAATGTCGTGGCAAGGCAGAGAAAGAGCCAAGGTATCTGCTTTTCCACTTGCATGTGATGTCCTGGTAACTTGGTTTATGTATGAATTTTTTTCTTATGTATAGTTGCAGGATATAAATTTCATTCAAGTTGCAAAGTAGTAACTGATACACACAATTCTGAAACCGTCACCTTCCTCAACTAACTATATAGTTAAATTTAAGTTCCCTAATATACACATCTATGCAAATTAGATATACATTTTAAAAGAATCCGTTTTTATTTACCTATTTTTTAAAGTAAGCTTTTCACCCAGCATGGGGTTTGAACTCGTAATCTTGAGATCAAGAAACAGTTGCATGCTCTACCGAACGAGCCAGCCAGGTGCCCCCAATCCATTTTTATTGATTGCTTTATAGGTGGTGCAATCTCAGTAGAAAATTCTAAGGGTTTTGGTGTCACTCACTTGTTAACTCAACAAATATTTATTGGAAGCCCGCTAAGTGCCAAGCACAAAGTCATGAGGTTTAGTGAGTGCGATGGACAAGACAAACCCCATCTCTGCTTTCATGGAGTCTGTAATGTAGCAGATGAGCCCAATATGGGAGCAATAGTCACAATACTAGCAAATGTGGTAAGTTCTAGCCAATTCGGGGTGCGGTGAGAGTGTGTCATGGGGACATTCAGCTGCCTGGAGGTTCAGGCATAGCTTCTTTGAGGAAGTTATGTTTCAGCTGAGACAGGCTGCCATTTGCTAGGGGTTTGTGTAACTTTCTTCACATCCCAATTTGACACTTGGACAGAGCCCGGGCCCTCATGTGTAAACGGGGCATAAAGTGCACTTGGCAGAGTTGTGGGAATGAAGAGAATACAAGTAAAGCACTTCTTAGGGCATCTGGCCTAGAGTAAGCCCTAAGTGCGAGGTGCTAGTCACCCTTATTTATCAGTGTAAGGCACCAGGGGAAAACTGGAGTTTGCCCAACAGCTAAAGATAAATGTACAGAGGGGGAATTTGGCATTGGCTCCAAATTCAAGAGACAGTCACTACCCCGGACTTGTCTGGAGGCTTCACGGCCTGAGTTTCAGGTGCTGGAGCACCTGACAGGTTAAGGCTCTGCCCAGCACTGTTTCCATGGTTAAATTGGTGAGGAATTTTTGAGGGTTGATCTCTTTCTAGCTGTAGGTGAGCCGACGCCCAGGTCAGATTTTTTCACGTAAAAGTAATACGCCTGGGAAACAGCTCTCTGGTCAAAGGACACACGGTTAATCAAGTGACAAGCAAGTATTGCTGAGCCAGATGCGAGGGGGAGTGACGAAGGCTCAACTGGAGGTTTTAGCTGAGGGTCAGAAGACCCGGCGCCACCCCGATGACGCCTGGAAGTGGGGCACGCGGGCCACGACCCTGCGCTCCGGGGTTCGGGATGCCCAGCGCTGGTCCGCGAGCGCTCCCCCTCCAGGCCTCCTGGACGCACGTATCCGGCCACGTCCGCACCCTCCGAGCGCGAGTGGGTGATTTCGAAAGTGGGCGTGACCGGCCCCGAGGGGAAAGCGTGCTAGGAAGTGGGAGTGAGCGGGGGAGGCGGGGCGGCGAGAAGAGGGAGCCGGGTGAGGGATGCAGGGCAGGAGTGGGAGGGTTGCAGGGCGCGGTGGGAGGGGTGAGGCGCGAGGGAGAAAAGGGCGCTGTGGCGCGGCGGGAGGAAGTGCGCCAGGTCCCGGCTCCCGCTGCGAGGCGCCCCGCGGGTGGGCCGGCCAGGTGAGCCCGAGATGCCGCTGCGCTGGAAGCCGGGGCCGCCGCTGCCGCAGCTGCTGCTGCTCCTGGGGCCGCTCGGCCCCTTCTCCCCGCGCGCCCCGATGGGACTCGCGCAGGCGGACGCCGCCGCGGAGCTGGACTTCTCCACCGAGCGGCCGGTGCACCTGGTGAGTCCCGCCTTCCTGTCCTTCACCATCGACGCCAACCTGGCCACGGACCCGCGGTTCCTCACCTTCCTGGGGTAAGCGCCGGCCTCTGCCTGTCCCTGGGTCCTGTCTTCCTGACAGCCACGCCCGGGAACCTTGATCTCTCTGTCTCTGCCTCTCTCCTTCCATCCCGCCTTTCCTCCCTCCCTCTCCTGTGACAGCCGCCCCCAAACCGCTCGTTCCCGCCTGCATTCATTCAGCGAGTGCTGCCTGAGCGCCAACTGAGGGCCAGGTATTACGGGGAAATTTGGAAAAGAAACTTGCCACCTGCCCCAGAAACACTTCTGGAGGAGGGGACTCGGGCAGTGTACCTGGAGCCTGTGAGCCCTTGAATTTGCAGCACAGTGTAGGACAGGTAAGATTGTGGACCAGGCGTCCTTCGCTTAAACTCTGTTAGGAAGGTTAAAAGGAAAAAAGAAAAGAAGTCAGATGTTAAAAGTCTCAAAGAAGAGTAAGTGTGTGTGCTGTGTGTGTGTATGTGTGTGTAAAATATAATTTTATATATTTTAAAATAAACTTTCAAAGAGCAGTTTTAGGTTCACAGCAAAGTTGAGCACAAGGTACAGAGATTTCCAGGATTACACTATATTTTTTAAAAAATCTAAGTATTAGAGGCACCTGTGTGGCTCAGTTGGTTAAGCCTCCGACTCTTGGTTTGGGCTCAGGTCATGATCTCACGGTTTCATGAGTTCAAGCCCCTTATGGGGCTCTGTGCTGACTGCAGAGCCTGCTTGGGATTCTCTCTCTCCCCCACTCTCTCTGTCCCTCCCCGACTTTCACTGCCTCTGTCTCTCTCAAAATAAAGAAATAAACTTAAAAAAAAAATCTAAATATTAAGTAAAGGAGACCTAGGAGACTATTGCAGTGACTTACAGAGCCTTAATAAAAAGATATTTTTCCAACACGAGACTGCAAAATCAGCTGTAATTTTTTTTCTCCCCTGAAAGAGACAAACTGGTGCATGTTCACTGCCCCCGCCTCCTAAATGCAGGCTGATCCCAGGACAGGGAGCTTCAGGGACAGTCCCAGGTCGTCTAGGCCACTCATCTAGATCATGAGAGCCTCCAGAGATGGCCACACCTCAGCCAACACACACAGCTGGGAATCTCATCATTGCCAAACACCCACACCCTGTCCTTTCTGTGCCCACTCTGTCAGCTGAACTGCCATTGCTAATTTCAGTCATTTGTTCTGTCCATAAAAGCAGGTAGCCTAATGGTTAAGAGATTGGCAGTCTGACTACACTAACTTGATTCCCATCTCTGCCAGAGTTGGGTGGCTTGCTTGTTACAGGTTGCTTGGCAACCCCAAGCCTCAATTCCTTCACCTGTAGAATAGAACTTCTAAAGCCTTTTGGTGGGATTGTTCTGAGGACTTCATGAGACAATATAGAAGTACTTAGCACAGTGTTTGACACACAGTGTTCAAAATTTAAGCTCATTGCTTCTTCTTGGAAAATGAGGAGTATTGCTAACCACTCACCAGTTCTCTGTGTGTTTCTTTCCATCAGAGTTAACCTCCATGTTTCCCTGGGGTAGCAGAGGGAGAATTTCCTGGTGGAGAGGAACCCCCATGTTTTGCCCTTCCCCTTGGGAATAGGAAGCTGAATACCACACAGCAGGTGGTTGGAGACAGATTACTCTGCAGAAATGCTAAACTACAGGGCCCCATGTGTGAGCACCTCAGGCTAGCTTGGGAAGTGGTGGGGGGGGTGATGATAGGAAAAGAGAGGGTGTTGGGGGTGCCTTGCTAAAAACAGAGGCACTGACTAAACCACTTTCCTGAAACGGGAGAACTCAAGTCCTGTGCTGCTGCTGCTGCAGCTAGCCTGTGCCCACCCCTCCCCAAGGAAGGGCATCTGGGGATTCTTCCTGGAGAAACACGTCCAAAGGAAAAAACCTACAGCATGACTTTTAGGGTCCAGGCCTGATGGCCCTGCAGTCAAGCTAACACATGGACTAGCTCCATCCTCATCCTCCCCACCCCCAAAACACGCAGAATTTCCAGTCTGCAGTGCAGCAAGGGTGATACCTTTGTCTCGTGTCTCCCATAGCACTCTTTCTTCCCTGTTGGCCCCACCTTTTGGTTGAAAGCTGGAGGATAATGAAAACCAAAAGACTATATTGTGCAGTAGATAAAACTCCGTGTATTCCTGCTCATACGGGCTCCTGACCACACCAGTCCACTCCCTTGGCAGCGGCTGTCTTCATGCCTGCTCTTCAGGGGCATCTGCAAGCCCTTCCATACTATTCCCAGCGAGATCTGAAAAGACTGAGGCTCAGATAAGCAGGAGCTCCCTCCCTCTCGCTCTCAGCTAAGACCTAGCTTCTGAATGAGGGTCTGAGAGTCCCTCTCGCCAGGGTGGTTAGCACAGTGCCCAAAGTGACCTGGCCATCTCAGAAGGCAACACTAAGCTTAATAGCTGTGAGATGGGTGTTGTTCTGGTACCGTTCCTCAAAGGGGAAGCCGCTCAGGCAAAGATGGCAACGGCTGAGCAGAGGAAAGCTCAAGTAATAAGGAGAGGGTAATTAAAATAATTGAGCCTTTGTCATATGCCAGGCCCCATTCGTAGCATTTCCTAGGTGTTAATGCATTTATTCCTTCCTACAAAACTATGAGGTCAGTGATATTATCATCTCCATTTTAAAAAATGAAGAGGGGCGCTGGGGTGGCTCGGTTGCATAAGCGTCTGACTTCGGCTCAGGTCATGATCTCACGGTTCGTGGGTGCGAGCCCCACATCGGGCTCTGGGCTGACAGCTCAGAGCCTGGAGCCTGCTTCGGATTCTGTGTCTCCCTCTCTCTCTGCCCCTCCCCTGCTCACGCTCTGTCTCTCAATAATAAATAAACATTGAAAATTAAAAGAAAAGAAAACATTGAGGTTTAGGGAAACTCTGTAACTGGCCCCTAGTCAGTCAGCTGTTCATGAAGGAGCAGAGTCTGGACCTAGATACTAATTGCAGGGACAAGATTATACAAAAACAAAGTAAGAAGTTTATATTTCTTAAAGCAGTAGGGTAGGGTATAGAGGAAAAAGATTGTCCAGAAACAAATTGAGGAGATTGATATAATGAAAAGAAGCACTGACCCGAGAGTAGGAGAATCGGGGCCCAAACCTCTGAGGTGCTTCAACAGAATCCTAAGCAAATTTAATCAGATGGCGTGGTCTGGTTTCCCATCACAGCAAACAGATGTGTTTTGTTTTGTTTTTCCACATTTGCAGTTAGAGAACGTAGAGTGCGCAGAACTTAAGTGCCAATGATAGAACAATCTAGAATTGGAAAGGAACATCTTTTCAGTTTGCCTTCTTCCCAGAGGTAATCAAGAACCTGATCAAAAACTTCCTAAGCCGATGTGCAGAGCTCTGAACAGGCACTGACCCTCAAAGAAGGGAGTGTTGAGACCAGCACTGCTCAACAGATAGAACGTGAGCCTCATATGCAAACTACATGTGCAATTTAAAACTTTTTGGTGGGACGCCTGGGTGGCTCAGTCGGTTAAGCATACAACTTCGGCCCAGGTCATGATCTCACAGTTTGTGAGTTTGAGCATCAGGCTCTATGCTGATAGCTCAGAGCCTGGAGCCTGCTTTGGATTCTGTGTCTCCCTCTCTCTCTGCCCCTCCCCTGCTTGCTCTCTGTCTCTCTCTCTCAAAAATAAATAAAAACATTAAAAAAAATAAAAACAAATTTTTTTTGGTAAGTCACGTTTAAAAGTAAAAGAAACAGGTGAAGTTAATTTTAATAATATATTTTATGTAACACAAAATATCCAAAGTTTATCATTTCAACATGTCATCAATATAAAAATATTAATGAGATCTCTTACACTCCTTTTCACATCAGGTCTTCAAAATCTGGGGTCTATCTTATGCTCCTAGCACATCTCAATTCAGACTAGCCACATTTCAAATCCTAGCCACATTGGCTAGTGGTTACCATCTTGGCAATGAAGCCCACACTGCAAACAAGATACAGACACAAGCACAGTCCTCTAACACGAGGTAAAAAAGGAGAGTGCGAGTCAGTGCTAGAGTTCGTAGGGACTACAGAGCGGGAAAGGTGGTGCTAAATGTCGACAGCAGTAATAATGCAGTTGTGCTTGCTTTTCATAAAGGTTTGCTTATTTTTTTCCAGCAAAGTTCATTCCTTTTTGCCAGTCTGATGAATAGTTATTAATAATGACTTTCAGTAATCAGATTCCTGCATCTTCATGGACAAAATTGCTTTTCTTATTTGGAAAGTCACTTATAATCAACGTCAGGTGCACATTTTGAAAACTGATGTTGGAAATAACCTCAGGCCCTCTGCGTGCCTATTGCTGAGAGAATGAACCACAGCCAGAGAAACAGAACTGAGAACAGTTACAAGCCATAGACTCACATTTCCTGACCCCCAAGAAGCACTCTCTCCCTGATTAAGTGCTCATTGTTCCCTTCTCTCCCAAACCTTTCATTGTGCTCTCTGGAGCCCTTTGCATAGTACCCCTGCTTTATCCTCCTCACAGACTATTCCCACCCTAGCTAAAACTTGGCTCTTCTCTGAAGACCCAAGTGGAGAAAGAGACGTGGCTACTTCCCTGAGGTAGCCCTTTGGGGTAGAAACTATGCATTCTCCAATATCGCAGCCCTTTTCCCATTCACCAATGTACCTTCTAGGTGATTGCCCACCATTTTGAATGTAGTTCAAATCCCTACTGGATTGTTACCTTGGGCAATAGCCTCCTTTTGTTCAGATTCCTTGTCTGTAAAAAGAGGATAATAATGATACCTACCTCTCTGGTTTGTTTCGGGATCGAGTAAAATATTTTATGCCAGGTGTCCAAAACACTGAGTTTGCACAAACCTAGTGCATGCTAGAGATGACGGTCGTGACTCCAGTGTGAGGTACACTCCTCTATGTCTGGCTCTCATCCTATGTTCCTTATCACTGCGCTGTGCTTTATTCTGACTCATTCTCCTTATCGATGAAAGATTGGCATTGATTTCACAGTTTTCTCTCCCCTCCCACGTTCCACCGTCATCCTAGATGACTTCA